TTTGTCTAGTACCGAGAGAAGCCATTACTAGTCTACCTACACACCAGTCACTCGAAAACTCATAAAGTTAAGCTCAAGCCATCTATCTATCTATCTATCAATCCATCTATCTATCAATCCATCCATCAATCCATCCATCAAATCCACCAGTGATCAAATCAATCAAGCAAGCTCTCACCGATAAAGGAAATCCATCCCAGATAAACTTCACACTAATAAGAATTTCCCTACATGCTCTCAATCCCAGCTTGAGCTTGATTGGTTAGACAGCATAAGTTACCCTTTCCTTTGTTAATAAACAAATCCATGAAATAATCCACCCCGGCTGCGGCGCCAGCCTTGTTGAAATAATTTCTTTCTTTCGGTGAGAACCTCGGGAGCCCTGGGAGACGATGGAGAGGAGTGGGAGAACGAACAACTCTATATTCACTCTATCTAATTAATAATAAGTTTACGTTACTACCGCGAGAAAATCTTTCTCTCCATAAGGTTATTTCCTCGGAACCGAATTCTGTCTGCAATTTGCGATTGGTATCTAAGATCAAGGGTGTATACATATACCTACCGGTACCTATACATACATTTCACGATCTTTTCCTTGCGCATACATAAGGGTCTCCGCTTCGTTGGGGCTGGTATTGTTTATTTTGTTTCTTTCCTATCGTATACGAAAGTTGGATTCGGATTCGATAATACAATATACAGTTACGATTACAGTCACAATTACAACTTCTCACGATACACATACATACATACATACATACATACATACATACATACATACATACATACATATACACATCACACCGGTACAAACCTCATCAATCCACTCTTGCATTCAGGAGGTTCGAATTTGGAAAGCTATATACCTACCTACTTTACTTCCTATCCGATACTGATACCCTTACCCATCTCATGGAATCACCCACAAGAAATAAATAAATAAATGCCTTCCTTCTTCACCTTCGACCAAGGACGCGACCGCTTCCAAACAGAATCCTCTCCCCTACTAGGCCGCTTCCGCGCAGTACCAAATGTATATACCACGAATGGGCGCACGCGCAGGAAATCTCTCTTAGGGTTTTCGATCGATGGGTTTGGCGGCGCGTTCGGAGGCAGAGATGAGGGGGACGAGGGAGGAGTGGATGGATATTATTGTGATGGGGATGAGGAGGAGGAGGGGGGGTGTATATGGGTGGAGAGGCAGAGTGCGGAAATGGGGAGGAGAGTTTAGAGATACCTGGATAGAGCCGAAGCAGAGGAGTGTGGCGGGGTGTGTGGAGAGGTGGTGGTGGAGATGGGGAGTTTTGGTTGGGGCGCCGAGTGTTTTGGTGAGTGATATGGAAGAGGTCTCTTTGGTTTTTTGGGTTTAGAGACGGGAATGCGGATTTCTAGGCGGTGCAAAACGAGGGGATACCGGCTTGTCGAGTGAAGCGAGGGACATAAATGTTTGGTTTATAAGGGGATCTTTACGAGCGCAAGATTGGGTGGATGAAGCAATGCTTCTAGAACAATGTCCTTACGGTTCTTAATATCCCATCTTCTACTCTTCTACCTATGCTGTAGTGGCTTGGGTGGGTAAAGAAATATGGAGATAATATGGGTGGGAATTCCTTAATGCCAAAGCCTCTGCTCTTTATTATCCCACCTTCTACTATTCTGCACCCGCGCCATTGTTTCTATTGGGCAGATGATGATGGGGGCTAGCCCCCAAACCCCCATAGCTCGCTGCGCTCGAGAGTTTCCTTATAATATGCTAGTCGGCCTCCACGGCAGTGGCCCCCGGAGGGCCAGCGGAGCGTCATTCAACTTTATACGGAAAAGCTGTCATCTTTTATTTCTCTTTTTCTTAAGAAGTTGCGGATGTACAGATATATTGAAGAAACTTTACTAACCATTCGAGAATACCAGGCTGTTGCATGGTGTGCGATACCATTTCCACAATACGAAATTCCAGATGACGACAACATAGTGGATTCACCATTGGCCATCTTTGGCCACAAGATTCCAGGTCACGGAGAAGCCAGAGTTGAAATTAACTTTTGGTTCTTTCTATTCGTATATTATGGTTTCTATAATATAACAGCATTAATGTGGATTACGAAAGTCTTCAACATTTATTCGCTGAATTGGTATATTTGAGCTTGTTGGATCTAACCAGTATATACACTAACATGTTTTAGGTGGCCTAAAAGTCTTGGTTTTCCCCTGACAGTCTCTATTATTGCCGCAATGTCAATAGCAGCTCCAATACCTTTTTACTGCATTCCCGAACTTCGATATATCACATCACACAATACAGCGTGGATATGCTGGACATTCTTCGCCATGGCAATGCCATTATTAGTTGCATTTGCCATCCTCCTTAATCATGAACGACATCTCGGTTTACGTAATCCTCTTTCGGAAACTCAACGACTTTTTACTTCTTCATGGTGGACAGGTGATACTGATACAATCAATGCAAGGGATCGACCACGAAGAGCAAATGTTATTCGAAGTCAAAGTACTTTTGACCCAAATGCTTCTCTAGAGGTGGCTTTAGCATCAGATGATATTTATCGATCAAGAGATGCTCAACGTATGTTGAGAAAACGTTGGTTGCCAGCAAGTTTTGTGAGATTTATGTGGTTTTGTTCGGCTCTGCTAATAGGTATTTTGACTTACCTGTTGGGAGAAACTTATGCAGAGATCTATTTGCGAACATTGCCGCATAGCACGATTGAAACGCTCGTATATGTTTATAGTTGGGTTGTAACGGTTCATTTATTGGATGGGTTATGCGGGTGGATTTTAGGGGGTAACGAGGGAGAAAGAGTAGGTAGTTACCCCCTTGGTTGGGTTTTTAAACTGTAAGATTCCCAATTTTTGTATGTTTCTTCAAAGATTACTAACAGGTTCCCTAAGCTACTTCGCTCTCACCTATCAAACCTATGTCCGCGCTTTATATGCTCGTCTTCGATCACCACAACAATTCATCTACCTCCAAATAATGTCCTCTTCCTTCCTGATTCTCCTCGCCCCACTCACAATCTCCGCACCTTTTCATTCGCTTCTCACACTCCTCGGTTTAAACGGTCAATCATATACCGCCTATCAAAAATTCTGCACTCGAAATATCTTCCTCCGCGGCTTGACCGAAAACGTCTCAATGCTTACTTTTCTCGGAAGCATCTTGGTTCTGCACTACGGCGCTAATAAAGACGTATACCCTTACTTCGCCTTCGATACTCCAATCTCTCCACCAACAAACCAAACTCTCTCCTCTATTACCCACAAACTTTTCCCCTCCATGCCACACTTTCCTCATCATCTCCCATCTTCTGGTACTCCCCCATTAAACACACCCCCCCAATACGATTTTCGCCTCACGTTCTACGCGTCAATTGTGACGTGGGGATGTGAGATTGTAGCGGGCTGGATCACGAGGAGAATTCTCTGGTGGGGATGGAAAATCAATGTGACGGCGGAGGGGAAGAGAGATTTGGCCGCGTGGCCGGAGTTGTTGCCGACGGGAGTGGTCGTTATGGTGCACGTGTTGCAGAATATGCTGTTTAGTATTGTGAGGTTGGAGTTTCACTAGGGGGTGGAGAGTCGGGCATGAGGGAGGGAAAACAGGGGAAAATAGGGGAGGAGAGAGGAGGGTGTTGGATATGATTCTCATGATTGAATGAATGAATGAATGCATTTTCGCTTTATGGGGTTTGAGCAGGGTGTTGGCTGGATTGTTTGTTTTATTGATTTATTCATTATTGTTTTTCTTGTATTTTCTGCCGTATTTCTTTCTTTCATTTACATACCCTCCTCGAATTGCGTTGCGTTGCATTGCGTCACATCATGCCTTTTTTCCCTTTCTCGTTTCTCGCTTCCTCGATACCTTTGTTTTGTTTGGATTGGATAGATTAGGTTAATACATGATGAAGGAATGAAGGAATGAATGATGGGATGATTGGTGGAATGAATGAAGAGATGACTGATGGAATGAAAATGATGGAATTGGGAAGTATGGAAATGTATGTAATCACGCGTGGAGATTAGGAATCAAGAATTAGAGAAGTTTGGTTTGAAGAGAAGAAGAAAAAGATAGGGGAGGAGGAAGGGGAAAGGGTGGGCGAGGGAAGAGTGGGGGAATGGAGGAGGAGTGGAGAAGAATTATGTAAATAGAAATAGAAATAGAATAGAAATAGAAATAGAAATAGAAATAGAAATAGAAATAGAAATAGAAATAGAAATAGAAATAGAAATAGATGTGAGAGAGGGAGAGCGGGAAGGAAAGGGAAAGGAGGGATGTGAGGGAAATGGGGATGGGAGGCTGGATGAAGTTGTTAGTGGGCCATTTGGTCGATGAGTTAGTTTGATTGAGGGAGGAATCAATTAAATGAATGAATGCAATTCTATAACGATATTCATCTTTCTTCTATCTCCCGAGTCATGATTTATCCACTATACCTATATACCTAGGTAGATACTTTGAGAAGGCAGATTGAATCTGGTAGTTCGATAAAGATAAATAATGGCAAGGCTGGCAGGGCTGATATGGCTGATATGGCTCAAATCTAGATTTAAATCCGAGAAGAGTGAAGATATAATAAGGCTACTACTGTCTACATCATCATACAATATCATAAAACCACAACCGAGAAAATCCCATGCCATCTCGCTTATATTTCTAATGTTACGCATTCACAGTCATCTCATTGGATGATAAATGTTAAAATCCTTCATTTCAGGGGAAGGAGAGTGTAATGTTCATCTCTCAATGCATGTGCATGCTATATTCTTCGATGTGCTACCTCGAAATCACATACATACATCGCTTCTTATCATTTTTGATCTCTCACCTGTCATCTATAATCCTAAATTTAAGCTCTTGTCTCTTCTCTCTTCTTTGATCTCAATCTTCATCTCAATCTTCATCTCTATCCTCATCTCTATCCTCATCTCTATCCTCATCTCTCATCTCTTATCTCTGTCAAACCCTCACCTACACCCCAACCCCGCTAATCAAACTCCCTCTTCTCTCCCAACTTTCCCCATCCCTCCAATACATCTCTATCAACATTACTCGCGAATTCCCTCTCGAAAATTTCTTCTCCCCCACAAATTCTCACCACCTCGCCCAATCTCGCCTTTACAAATTCCCACGCATTAACCCTATGAACCGGATCCACCATATTCCATTCTCTCTTCCTCTTATCTTCCTGAGTCTCCCCTTCAAATACTTGTTGTTCTCCCCATACCAAATTATCTCCTCCGATGTCATCTCTCCCTGCCATCATCTCACTAATAACACTCGTCCACATCGCGAAGAAATCTTGAAGTTTGGAAAGAATGATTGGCGTCATTGGAGAAGGTAATTCCAAAAGACGTGTAAGAGCCAGGCAGCTCAACTTTTGTCTGTCGATATTGGCCATACTGTCAAAATGACGGAACCATTCTTCACTTAACCATTTCCAGATATTTTCAATTTTTTTGTCAATACTCATTAGGAGATTAGCGAAGACAGCAGGATCTGCTAATGCAATACGAGCCAGTATAGTAAAGTAATCTGTCTCAACTACATCATCTAATTTGGGATATTTACGCTCGGGACCAGTAGTTTGATGAGCTTCCCAAGCATCGCGAAGTCCCGAGAAGATCTTTTCCGTATACCCACGTTCGTGGAGATCTTTTGTGATTTGTGTAACACCATTGGAACCTAATTTTTCAGCAGCACGAATTAAACCCTCAACCGTTGTTGTGACTAAGCCGGCGAGATCGCGTTTTGTGACTCCTAATAAATTGGTCATATATGAGACAATTCGGAGTCGATTCGCATCACCCAGCATAGCTTCTGGTGCCAATAGAATATATTCGTTCACGATACCAAGAATGACTCGGAGATTATCAGAACCAAGTTCAAGTAGAGGAAATGCGCAATCGATGAGGGCTAGAACCTCGGGAGATGCAGGTGATGATGATTGAGCGAGGATTTGTGCCCACAAGTCAAGAGCTTCTTCCATAAGGTAGACTTGCATTTCCGAACCCGGTTCCACAGCGCGTTGAATTAGAGGTAAGATTAGCGAGTGGTATCGTTCAGATTGACCTTGCATACAAGATACAAGAGTAGACATTATTGTTAATATGGCCTGTTTCAGAAGATGTTCTTCCCCAGAAGCTTCCCAAAGACCTGGTAAAATAGAAACGATTTGATCTGCATATGGAGAGATATGAGTTTCTAACCTGATAGCAATCATTCTGATCGTTTCCAAAATTACCAATTTGGTTTCCGTATTCTCAACCTCTTGAATTAAAGCCATAGTGCGACCAAGAATATCAGGAGCATATGGTAAAAAAGGTTCAACGTGAAATTCGAAATCATCGACAATCGCCTTAAATTGACGAGCTGCAGTAATGCGAACAACATGATCATTGGTTTCATCTTCTGATTTAAGTAGGTGTTGAAAGATTTGATATACCAATGGTCTATTAGCTTGTGATATTCTGACAGGAATCCATTGGCCGAGTAGAATAGCAATTCGTCGACGAAGTACCTTCCAGCTTTGACCGGTTTGTTGAACATCATTAACTAAAGTTGAAGTAAGGAAGGTATCGAAGTCAAAGCTTTGATGTATAACAGCAGCAGATAATCCCATGGCAGTATACACAGCGTCCTTGGTGACAACAGATTGCCCATTACTACCTGCAACCGATTGGAAGTATTGTAACAATGGTGCCACTAGAAGATCTTTGAAGTTGATGACGAGGTCCATGAATAGCTTTTCCGCACAAGGTCGGACTTCAAATTCCCAAGTGTCTCCACCACCTTCTTCACGTATCTCCCATTCATCCTCATCTTCTTCCCAAGCTTCTAAATCGACTTGACGAAAGACGAAGAATTTAGTAACGATAACACTTGCCATTTCGGCTATTAGTTGTTCAGAAAGCAATTGCGATTTGAGGAATGCTACAGCTTGTCGCTGTTCTTCCTTGATCTCAGTGGTTCGGTATTTGAAGGATTGTGTTGGGCTAAATACCATCTTCAGACAAGCTCGCAATAGCGTGAGACCCTTTAGACATAATTTTTCCATGATCGGTCTATCTTGTTTTGATCCATCATCGGTTGCCAACGCTTTGGCACTGAAATCTTGTGTTGCTGATCCATAAGAGTCTCCAAATTTAGAAACAAATCCCCAATATCCTCTTACCAAATCTATAGAATTAGGCAGGAGTGCGAAAGCAGCAGGATGTGTATTTGACATTTGGACATGTAGTTTTGCAAATTGTACGAGGTGCTTTTCGGCTAGTTCCTTAGCAGGAGATGCCAAAACTGTGGATTCTTCATTTACTATTTGGAGGAGTTGACCAAACTGTTGTTGCGATTGTTGCCATATTTGTTGAACATCTTTATCATGATTTGGGAATTCATAACCCACAATAAGAAGTCGTCGAAGGATTTTGATCGCAATCAAACTGTTTTCCATAGCATTTGTAGCAAGCCCTTGACCACCTGAAGAGTTCTCAGTTAAGAGACCAAGCCATTGTGAAACCTTTTGTGTATAAATGCCGCTCAACAAGAATACCATCTCCGGCCTGACTGATTGTAGACTCGTTTGAGATCTCCTTAATCGGGCGGTAGCCAACTCTTTCACAATCTGTAGTAATATCAACATTCCTCTTTGTAGATGAAGTTGATTTGTTTCGTTTGCAGTTCGCAGCATCCTAATCAAATCTGTAAGGACATCCGGCCAATCCATAGGATAATCCACTCGGACTACTTTCGAAATCACCAAAGCATTTTGTAAAGCAAGTTGAGGATCGGATTCCTCGAATCCACTCTCTAGCAGATGTGATCGAATATTTCCTTTCTCTTCCGCAGTAATAGCATTTGGGGCTGTCTTTCGCCAATATTTATCGATTCCATTTTTCAACTGTATGACCGCAAGATATCTTACTTCGGAGGGTAGGGACTTATCGAGATATACTGCCTAAGCAAGAGTATTAGTTGGGATGCTCAAATTCCAAAACGCATGGAGAAAATACCTGCAGTAAAGTATAGTATCCTCTCTGTGTCTTCCAAGCTTCTAGCTGTTGCGTCCCAGTTTGGATAGCTTGCTGTTGAGAGGACCCTGCCGATTGCAAGGCTAGATATACCTGTTGAGGATTCAGAGGAGCTGCCTCTCCCGGAACTTCGATCGCAAACGCCATATTGAAAAAGGATTGTATTTCCACAAGATATCAAAGAATGCAATGATCTTCGAGAGACGAAAGAAAGTTGTGGTGTATTATTGAAACTGCGCCCCACCACGAGCTGTTTTTCTTGAGGGTCTCTATTACACCGTAAGGTTAACTTTTTTGTTCGAGCTTCTTTTTTTGAGTGACACTTCACTTCAGCCTCGTCAGTCAGTCAGTGTCAATGGTCCACCATACAGGATTCACCAAACAAACATGAGATGCGATTATTCTCAACGTGAAGCAATGGTTGTACGAAATTTATATTCGAGTTTCATATTGAGATATCGTCAAGCATGTCATATTTTTCTATCAAAATCATCAAAATCATCCAAATTATGTTCGATTTTTGGGCTGTTCGGATTTGGCACCTAGAACATCGTTCGGACCCCAATACGAGAGCTCCCCTCATCTCTCATTGATTATGACGATATTATACATGAATATCTAGGGTACATCGTCAAGTTACATCTTATCCAAGACCGTACAAGGAAATGAAACCATCGTGAGGCCCTGGCAACACCAACAATATTTATATCACGTATCAGGGTCTTCATGATTTTCACCATGACATCTCTTCCTTCAACCTACAAAGCTCTACGCTTCAGTACCCTTGCGGGCCCTCTGACCATTGAGGGAACAAGATATCTCTTCACTCCAAACTCCGAAAACTCTCCTAATAAGAATCCATTTCGCGTCTATAAATCCTGTCGATACACAATTATGGCGTGCTGGCATAATATCCGTAGTCTCTGGCTCCAAAGGCATGGGACGTGATTTCTCCGGCACCATTGTAGCCATTGGAGATCAGGTGAAAGGGAATTGGTCTATTGGAGATGAAGTCTTTGGATTGTTGTTTCAAGTTGTATGTTCATTCGTCTACTTGCTTTTTTGTGACTTGTTGGCTTGGGAATCGTGATTTAGATGTGGTCATAGATAGCTCGGGAAGGGTTTAGTTAGGGAAGTAAATGGTTGAGTTGAATCTATTACTGATAGGAATAGTTCGGCCAAGGAACTTTCAGTCAATACATTGCTGTCAATCCAGCTTCAGATCCGGTGGTCAAAAAACCTATTTCTCTATCTCATGAAGCTGCTGCATCAATACCTCTTGTTGCATTAACCATGTTTGCGGCTTTGGACTGGCTTCCCGCAGCTAGGGGTAATTCGCAGAGAAAAGTAATTGTACGAGGAGCATCCGGAGGATGTGGTTCACGGGCTGTTCAACGTGAGTGTTTCCTCACTCGATATTTAGATCTTTTTTGGAGATACAATAAAATGATATTAACGCATCTCCAGTGGCTAAAACCCTCTACGACTGTCACGTCACAGCCATCTGCTCCTCGAAGAATATCGAGTATGTTAAAATTCTAGGAGCAGATGAAATAATAGACTATACCTCCCAGCCAGTTTTGCAAACGTTACTCGAGAGTAAGACTACTTCAACAGAATACGATCTACTAATAGATTGTGTGGGAGGAACAGACCTCATTCCCTCCTATGTGTGTCCTCTCACCCCTCCCCCAGATCTCAAGCCTCCTCCTCCCCCCTCCTTTCCTCTCCTACCCCTAATACCTAACACCCACACAGAAAACTCTCCTCCACCCTCACGGCGCCTACACAACCATCGTCGGCGACAAAACAGACGTGAAAGGTCTCGGCGGACCCGTCACATTCATCAAAAACCCCATTCAAATCTGGCGTTACATATCCGGTTTCATATGGGGCCCTCGTTATGCCGTGATATCCTTTCATACCAAATCCGAATATCTGAAAAAGATAGTTGGGTTGGCTGAGAGAGGAAATGTGAAGATTGAGATTCAGGAGGTGATTAAGGATGCGTTGAATGAAGAGACGGAGGGCTGGAAGAGAGCTATTGAGATTATTGAGAGTGCGAGGGTTAGAGGAAAGGTTGTGTTGGAGATTTTGTGATGTGGAGGAATGATTGTGAATTATGTATTGTTGATATACCAATTGACTCTAATAATATAGCTTTCGGTCCGGGAATTAGACTCAACCTGTAGTCTCTCTATCCCTATTGAGACGAATGGCATTTATAACTTTGTTAATCGCCCACACTTAGAATGTAGATATTTAGTATCGTAACCGAACACATTCTGTTTCTTGATGTAGTTAAGACATCAAAATTCTATAAGAAAAATCCAAACATATGAGTATACTTTCAGGTTGGAAACTCAGCCACAGTCTTCTATCTCTTCTTTCACTTCAATTAGCCCATCTCTTTCTTTTTGTCTTTGCGCAATCCAAGACCCCAGTTCTCCCCATATCTTCTCCTTTTCCGCAGGTGACAATGATGCTGCTAGACCAGACGTACTGGATGCCACAAAAAGTTTGGCTCCTCTCCAAGAATTTTCACCCTTTATAATTCCCAAATTCTCTTCTTCCGATTGCCACCCATATCTAAACTCATCCTTTGCCATAGCCTTCCCCTTTTTTACTCTCCACACACTTTCCCAAATACTCTTCCCAACTAATGCCACAGCCTCCGGTCTATAAACTCTGATCTTCTCGTCTAACAAACTCACTCCCTCATCCATCTCTTTTTTCGACAACTCCCCTCCATTTCTTGTAGGTCTTTCCACAATATTTGTATTTCCTAAAGAATATAACCCTGGTAACTTTACATCATCCTCCGCCTTCAAAAGTCGAGTAGTACAACCTGATGAATGGAGTATTTTCCAAAAACGATTAGAAGGATGTGCATAGGCGTGGCCAACTTGAGCGGTTAGCAAACCTGGATTGAGACCTACGAAAAGACATAGGAGATTGGGTGCTATGACATCGGGGAGAAAAGAGAGATGCGCGTAGTGGGATGGAGGCTTGTAGCCTCCGCCAGCGCGGGAACGACGTTGTTTGGCCGGAGATGATTTGCCTACTGGTGTAGCGGAAAGTGTCTCGAGCTTGCGTTTTAGGGGAGAAGGTGTTGTGTTTGCATGTTTACGAGCTTCGACGGGGCACAATGTAGGTGGCAGCCTCTTTCGAGCACTTGTCGGTATAGGCGAATCTATAGGGGAAGGCGTACAATTGCCCCGCAGCTCCATTTTGATGAGTCGATCGTGCTGCTCACTCATTCTTTCTGGGGAGATTCGTCCAGCAGCATTATATGACGATTCAACTCTGTGATTCCCGTCTCCATGCGTTGCTTGCTCGGGCGATTTGCAATTCGAAGCCTCCAACCGGTTCCTTTCGAATTCTGATTCATAATCTGCTGTGACATTGGGAGCGTCGGTATGGAACTCCTGCTTCAAAGGAGAAAGGGATGATTGTGAGGTTGATGTTTTTGACAAAGGATTCCGGGAATTTATTTGGGTAATCTGTCGACGAGGGCGTGAAGGTGGATTTGGAGAGTATGTAAAAGAGGAGAGATCCAATTTGCCTCGAAAGCTTGGTGCTGTAATGTTAGTTGTAGCATCTGCTTCCATCTCTTCCTTCTTGAAATATCTGGAGTTCACTTGTTTACCCATTTTGTTGGGTAACAGATATGATGTTGGGCTGATGAGTATCCAAATAGAAGTGCAAGATAAATCTGCCGGGTCAGTAGGGGATAGCAATGACGTCTGTCAATACGACGAATTTCCAGAATAGTTATTATTATAATTGCGATACAAATACTCGTAGAAGTGACACGAAGGGACTCGTCTTGCGTATTTGCTTAGCTATTTAACATCCTCAACATACGAACAATGTATAGAGAGAAAATCCAAATGCGTCGTGTCAAATAGCGAAGAAAGGAAAGAAACGATACCCAATTAATATAAATAGAATGGTATGTAAGTCGTTCGTTCTAGCGACCCTCGTTATTTACTGATTCGTACATGACGGTGAGTGAATGGTGGGGCTGGGCTGTGCGGTGCCTTCCCTCAATAAGACACATAGAAACAAAAAGTTATATAAATTCCATTCCCCCTGATTTATATTATTTTTGAATTTTGAATTGTTCAAATCCTTCATCCCCTTCACATTGCGATACCATTCTTTGCATAATACGAAATCATGGAATCCGTTCAGAAAGTACTCGATACATTACACATGGGAGGCAAGGTACAAGCTGCCCCTCCTAAAGAGCCCAGCTCCACCGAGCTTGAACAGCTTAAGGAGAAGTACTCCAAAGCAAAGCAAGACCAAGTTTTTGCATTTTACGATACCCTCGAAGTTGCAGAGAAAGCTGCTCTCTACGAACAGCTTTCCAATTTCGATCCTGAATATATCAACAAAATCACCGATGCAGCTCTCAACCCACCCGAGACCCAAGATGCCGACAAAGAAACTGGTCTCGAACCACTCCCCGAATCTGCGACTGCCAGTATCCTCGATTCAAAAGCTGAAGATATTGAGAAGTGGTATGAAACTGGTTTGGATTTGATAGCTGAGAACAAGGTTGCAGTGGTACTTATGGCTGGTGGCCAAGGAACCCGTTTAGGAAGTTCAGCCCCAAAAGGTTGCTTCAATATTGGTCTACCTTCCGAAAAATCCCTTTTCCAAATACAAGCGGAACGTATTCGCAGAGTTCAAAGATTGGCACATAAGAAGGCTGGTTATGCAGCGGATAAAAAGGTGGTTGTTCCATGGTATGTGATGACCAGTGGACCAACTCGTGGACCTACCGCCGACTACTTTGAGGAAAATAAATACTTTGGTTTGGAAAAGGAGAATGTGATCATCTTCGAACAAGGAGTTCTCCCTTGTATTTCGAATGATGGTAAAATTCTTTTGGAGAGTAAGGGCAAGGTCGCCGTTGCACCAGATGGAAACGGTGGTATCTACCAAGCCATCGTCACATCAAATGTTATGTCTGACATGACAAACCGTGGTATCCAACACATTCACGCTTACTGCGTAGACAACTGTCTCGTCAAGGTAGCAGACCCAGTATTTATTGGATTTTCCGCTTCTAAAGATGTCGATATTGCTACAAAGGTGGTACGAAAGAGAGATGCTACAGAATCTGTTGGGTTGATCCTTCTCAAAAATGGCAAGCCAGATGTTGTTGAATATTCTGAAATCGACAAGGAGACCGCTGAAGCTAAAGATGCCAAGCAACCCGATGTCTTGAAGTTCAGAGCAGCAAACATCGTTAACCACTATTACTCTTTCCGATTCTTGGAATCGATCCCTCAATGGGCTCATAAGTTACCTCATCATGTTGCAAGAAAGAAGATTCCTTATGTGGATACTGAGAAGGGTACAACTGTCAAACCCGAGAAGCCAAACGGTATCAAACTTGAGCAATTTGTTTTCGATGTTTTCCCAATGTTGGAACTTAACAAATTTGCTTGTATGGAAGTCAAACGTGAGGATGAGTTCTCACCACTGAAGAACGCGAGGGGCACTGGTGAAGATGATCCAGATACTAGTAAGAAACATATTATGGATCAAGGAAAACGATGGGTACAAGCTGCAGGTGCCACTGTTGTCGGTGAGAGTACCGAGGATGGTATCGAAGTTTCTCCATTGATCAGTTACGTAAGTCAATCATTCCCTCGTCAATAAGCCTCGATTCAACCAAGCTAACATGTCTATAGGGTGGAGAAGGGTTGGAGAAGTTGAAGGGTCAGAGCATCACTGCCCCAGCTGTTTTGGAGAAGGAGCTGTCATAAGTACCTTCAAAAGGTCAGATGAGCAATTTAGGCACTTTTTGGTTTGGCTATAATAAGCTCTGACAGCAAAATATTATTGTTCAATACAAGCGAAACATTTCGAAGCGAAGTGTGTAACTATGTAAAAGTACTACAGTAATACAAGATATCAATTAACATCAGAAAATCTAGCGTAATTTTAGAGACTTTCTAATACTTCCCACATCCATATCCGAGGAGAAGATTAAACCTGCGATCTCAGCCCCTCTGGTGAGAATCAGCTCAGACTTTTAGAACCAAGAAATACTTCTAGTGTGCATCCTAAGCCTCTATCGCTGAACTCAAAGAATAAAATAAGCCTTGCTTGATGACAATATTTTGCCTCCACTAGTCTAGTGGTAATGGATTCAACAACCACCAGCAACCAGCAACCAGCAACCATAACCGTGGAAAAAAGTACCGGTTATAACAAAACAAAAGTCCACGGGTCCAGATGATCAACCCCCCGCCATGATTATTGGGTAATGCGTCATGAGTGGCTCAACAGATCGGATCTATCCATCCGTCGCTCATCTCCACATCACGTGTTGAGATTATCCGATGTACCGTTTGTGTGGATGTTGGCACGGATTAATTACAGAAGTGCATGAATGAAGTGGAGATGGAAAACTGGGAAAAAGTGGTGGAGGTATCGTGCTACTGGATATGCTTAAATTTTGCTCCGTCTTACCCCTACGAAGTAGATGAGAGTATCTATCTAACTTTGATCTTACATCACTTTACTGATGGGTGGAAGACTTATTTGATTTTTTTTTGGTTGGTTGGGAATGTTCCCAAGTGTACATAGGTCCCGGCGCGGTTCATAGTACAAGTCGAAAGTATGGTTGAGTATTCGGATTTCGGATTCTAACAGTTATCTATCGATCAAGTGTGATGGGAAGGGAAGCTGCTTAAGTAATTGGTGCTTCAAGTTATGATTTGATGGTTAGTTGGTTTGTACGATTTTGTATCTGATTACCTTTCCTAGGTATACTCTCATAGTCTCTCTCATAGTCTCTCTCATATCATTAGAAAACCATCAAGTAAGAAGCCCATGACATCTGCCAAGCCACGCGTGGCAGTGCCAGGCAGCATTGGAATGCCCAAAGAAGTGAAATTCCAAAGAGAGGTGTGAAATTCCCAAGAGAGGTGTGAAATGTGATTGTGACGGAGGAGAAACCCAGTGATTGAGGCGAAATCAATCATAAGGCGAATCTTGGCTGTGCTACGGATCGGATCAGAATCGGGTACCGGCCTTTGACTGTGGTCATCAGTCGGAGAATGGAATACTACGAAGTACTACCTAATAGGGATGGATGTTCGGAGGATTATTGAATACCTACCTACCTACCTACCTAGTTGTCGATGATGTAGCTACCCAGAATATAATATATGGAGTGACTTTTTCCCCGCACACAATTCGCTCGTCATTTTTCGAGTTGCAAGTGAAGTTTGCAAGTGAAGTTTGCAAACACATCCGCATCACAATCACAATCGGTGAAACAAAGCGCATTTTGAGACACTTTTAAAGTTTTGAGTCGCATATCGTTTTGTGATCGGTGGATTTGGTGTTTACATCAACATTATCGAATACATTTTGTTTGGCAGGGAAGGATCAAATTCAACTACTTCTTTCTTTCATCCTTCACATATCGCACACATATCGCACTACGATAAAACAGAATTCTTCATCAATCAATCACCACAAGAAATCACAATAATAAACATCCTCTCAAAACCAATCCAACCATGAGGACGAATCTCTGGACCGTAGCCCTGCTACTTTTCTCCTCCACTCCCTCATTTGCACATCCGCAATACATTCCTTCCGCCGAACTAATCCCCCGCGATGCAAAGGCACAACCTGTAGTCAACGCCGAAGAATTCACATACTATTCGCGCGAGGAGAAACGAGGTGGCGATTTATTTAAACGCAAGGGCGGCGGAGGCGGTGGCGGGAAAGGAGGAGGTGGAAGTTCGAGTAGTGGCAGTAGTAGTAGTGGAAGCAGTTCTTCAAGGTATGTTAAGGGAATTTTCTTTTCATGATCCTGAGATTTAGAGAATGGATGGGTGAGGAGAGATGACGCAGAAGGAGTTTGGGGAGGGGAATTGAGGGACCCTCTCGGCTGTTGGGGGTAAAGCACCGATAATCGGTGTTTGAGGGAAATTCACTGGATTGAATTCAAAGAATCAAGCTCTAACATGTTAATAAAACAGTTCTGGTTCTTCGTCCGGAAAAGGAGGTGTCACCTCCTCTTCCTCTTCATCGGGTGGCGCTACAAAAGCTGGCTCGGGTCCCGCGCCTGCTTATGGTGGGGGGAGATATGTATGTGCCTTTCCCGAAGACTCAAGTATTGATTACTAACCTACAAACAGTATGGCGGAGGAGCAACAGCCCCATATTCCTCAGGAGCTCGTTCGCCTCTCGGAATTGCCCCCGTCTTCCTCGGCTTAGGTGCCTTATCCATCTTCCCTGGTCTCTGGCTCTACGGCGCCTACAGCTATCCATACCACAATCAGTATTCCTTCCGCAACCACTCGGCTACCCGCAACAGCACCAACACTACATCTGCCTCTATCGAAACCCGTCAAGAATCGGATACCACGGGTGTCAACGAGACAAAACCAGTCACATGTCTCTGTGCTGCATACAGCGAGTGCGGATGCGACGATAGTGGAAACTCGACATTCCTAGATCAGATAATCGGGGATGGAAGTTACGACGCGTTGAACAAGTCGCTGGTTAATGTCGCGGAGGTTAATGGTACATCGACGATTCTTATTAATGGGACGTTGCCTAATGGAACGACTGCGAGTGGTGGGTCGGATTCTGCGGCTGGGAGAACGATTGCGGAGGGTTTGGGTTGGTGGGTCATGCTTGCGACGGTTTTCGCTACTTGCTTTGCTATTTGATTTTCTTCCGTGGTTCGGGGGAATCGAGAAGAGAAGAACAAGATCAGGAATAAGTCAAGATAACTGGGAATTAATTTCCCAGTACACTTGCATGTATCATGAAGAAGACGCGGGATTTCATTGTATATTTTCAACAAAAACATGGGGGTGTCATTCTTCTTTTTGGCGTTTCAAAACGATGCGAAGGGATTGGAATGGAATAGTTTGGGAAGATGGGAGATGAACTTACGACCCCCGATATGTATGTATTAGTACTTATGAGATCACGGTGGTTTGGGGATATATGGATGGGTGAGGGATGCGGGATGAGGGACTAATGTATCCCTCGATAGAATATAATATCATAAAAGAGTAAATTGGTGCAGATCAGCAAATGCTAGGATAGGAAATAGTCGGTGCATATTTAGGTAATACAAATTGTGTAATCCAATATTTCATTATTATGGGATGAGTGAAAAATAAATGGTTCAATGTTTCGAGTGAGGTATGTGTATAGTGGAAGTGTGGATGCTTCATTTGAAGTTGAACGACTCCTTGATAGTTCGGTTAAATAGCCGGACAGACAATGAGGTTCAAAATATTGTCTCGCCCGTGTTCCTCTTCGTGAGAAATTGTAGATTCTACTTGTATATTTAATTCTAGCCTATTCAATTCTATTTTATTTTATTCCATCCCGTTCTATAGTACACCCCTCAAGCCGATTCAGAACTCCTCGCTTTACGTCGTCGTATCAATTCTCCCAACGGTATATCATCTTCATCCACAATCTCCGCTTCCTCATCTACCCCATAGTCTCTCAATCTATCACCTTCTGAATTTGTCCAGCCTTCTTCTCCGTCAAGTCCCTCTTCATATTCTTCACTTTCATCTTCGTTCTCCTCCTCTTCGTCATCTCCTTCATAGTATCCACCTCCATTATTGATAGTACCTCCTTTATCATTTTTCTTCCAGCGTTTCAAATCTGCTTCTTGACGCTGTCTGAATGCATCTCGTTCTTCCTCTACACTCCCGTAGACTTTCTCTTCCATCGGGATCGTTTCCACACCACTACATCCCGCTCTCCTTCCCAACTTGTCCGGATCCGGCGGTGGCCACATACCCACTCTATCATTAAATCCATTTTCCTCCCACGTCCCCGCACTCTCTACACCCGGTCCCCCTGCAAGCGGATTGAACCACATCAGTACATTCGCACTCCCCATCGCTTGCACAATATTCTCCCAAATACCTATATCGAAGGGAAATTCCACTTTGTGTACCCTGACTTTGCGACCTCCATTCGCATACACATAGCCGCGCATATTTTTCGTTTTCGAGCGCTCGATAACCGCATCGTGGCGTTCGATTTCCCAGGCTTCGATCATGTAGATGTTTGTTGCGAGGGAATAGACGGTGCGCAAAAAGAGGAGCGTCATGGCGAAGAGGGAGAGCCCGGCAGAACAGGTTATTATGAAGAGGAGAGTGAGGGAGGTGGTTGAGGGGCCGAGGTAGGAGGGGAGGGTACTTTCGGAAATAACGTAGCTGATGCGGATGCAGAGGAAGAAGGCGAGGATGAGGAGGGAAATGACGGCGTAGAAGAGGAAGCGGATGAAATGGGGAAAGGTGATGTGGGAGACGCAGTTGTTGGTCCAGGGACAGTGGTGGTCCATTTTGGGGATGCAGCTAGAGGGTGCTAGTTACGATGCTTGCTCGGAGTTTGGACGTGAAACATATAGAATGAGAGAGGGAGATATATACCGTTTACATTGTTTACAATGATGTGCTCTAGCCGGCTTCACCGCATCACATTTCTTACACCATCTCACATTTTCCCACTCTATCTTTTCTAAACCCTCAACCTCCCCAATAACTGTCTCATCCCTCTCCTTCTTCTCCGTTTCCTTCTCAATCTCATTCGCAACTCTATCAACCCAGCCCTTCTCCCCCGGATCAACCGAGCAAGTCTTCCAATAACACCATATCATAGCCCACGCACTTGCATTGAACACCACTGTTTCCCCGGTACTCAGAGACCCGGGCTCGAGATACTGGAATAGTATCTGGGATCCGTAAACGAGAAATATCATGTGGAAATAACAAAATGGTTGGGCGAGATCGGTCATCTTGTTGATTCGACATTTGGATAGAGGGGAAAGACGCGTTTGCGTCATGGTGGGATTTGGTGTTTACATTAACTGATATGCTGGTATTGATGAATATGATATTGATAACTATAGAACCTTCAAACTTTGTAAGCAATAAGGTTATCGGAGAGACCCCTGACTTCGTGCATGTACCTATGTAGCCTTACAGCCTCGCTCCCTCGCACCACCCAAGCTCGGACACCCTGACACATTCTGACATTCGAGCCCGAGATTAGATAATCGCGTCAGGATGGAACGGACTCTTCTTACCCATGCGTAATTGGTCAGCTCGTTAAGGATATCACGTGTAGCAGGGATACTTCCATGAGACAGCGAAACGGACTAATGAATGAAAATCGGAGCAATCTTGGCCCGTTGGCGCAACTGTCAGACTTCTTCAATGGTCAGTCTCGCGCGTATAGACGAGATGAGAGGGAGATTCGAGAGTCGCAATGTGGGAAATCCATGATGGGGTCATGTCCCCTTGTAATGAAAAGGAATCCGAGATTTCCTTTCCCGTCCGAACTGGTGGAATAAGCTTTCTAGACAAGGTGCAAGCGCATTTTTTGGGTAACTGGGGAATCGGGATGGAGTTTAAATCGGGCCCTAGAGCTAAGGTTCGTTCTTGGGAGCTAGGACGGAAGAATTGATAGTTTGATGGATTGATGATAGGCTGAAGTGGAGTCGAGACGGAGCGATGTGGTTGGTACGAACGTGGTTTTTGGGTCCCCCTTGGGATTGGATTAGAAATGTGCATATTTTGATGATCTGCTAGGATTCTAGATGTCAGTTTCTTTTTTCTCGAGATCTAGGCTGCATGACTTAGATGTTTATACAGAGTTGCTTGTCCGACTTTGTATTTGAAATTATATCGTGTTCTGTACAAATCAAGGCAGCTTCACATATTCTTAGCAAAGTTTCCCCCTGTCCATACGCTCTTGCATTACTAGGGTCTTCATCTTGCGCTATCACATTGTTCTTCTCGTGTACCTATCACATCGCATTTGGTACCTTTGACCGTGTTTGAATCTCCTAAGACTGAGAACATGGAGACTTCCACAACCACACCACCAATATCTTCCAATAACAGTGCTTCAGGTATTCCTCACAGTATCCAGGAGAAGCCTGCCGCCACAGACGCTATCGCCGAAGCAAAAATCAAATTCAAACCAACCACATCCTTCATCCTCGCTTTCTCCTCCATATGCCTCATCACTCTCGCCGCCGCACTGGATGCCACCTCTCTCAGTATCGCCCTGCCAATCATCACCGCGAAACTTGGAGGATCAGCCATTGAAGCCTTTTGGTCTGGTACATCATTTTTACTCACTTCTGCAGTGTCGCAGCCCGTCATCGCGGGACTAAGTCATGTTTTTGGAAGAAAAGAGTTGATACTTAGTTCGGCTGTTTTCTTTGGTATCGGTAGTATCTTAGCGGCCGTGGCACAGAATTTTACTTTGATGTATGTAATATCTCAAATTGGGCTGAGAATATCTACTAATGGAGAAACTTGAACAGGTTGGTGGGTAGAAGTCTTCAAGGGATTGGAGGAGGAGGAATCTTGTCTTTGGGTGAGATTCTCATCACAGATTTGGTACCTCTTTCTGTTAGAGGGGCTTATTTTGGTTATATGGGTATGAGTTCTTTCTTCGCCTATAAGATCGCATCAACTGACTGTATAAACAGGTAGTATTTGGGCTATCGGAAGTGTTGGTGGTCCATTGATGGGCGGTGGTAAGGTTTCTTCCATCCTCTTACACACACTCGTCTAACTTCATCCTCCAGCTTTTGCAGAAAATGTCTCTTGGAGATGGATCTTCTGGATCAATATCCCCATCATTGTCTCCGGAGCAATTGCAATCATTCTTTTCCTGAAAATTACACGTACGCCCGGAAATCTATCAGCAAAAGTCAAAAGATTCGATTGGATTGGTTCTGTCATCTTCGTTTCTTCAACAATATCTTTCTTGATTCCTATAACATGGGGTGTGTGTATCCGTTCCAATCTACAACCTATATCGCTAACAAGAATAGGTGGTGTAATGTACGCTTGGGATTCATGGAGAGTACTTTTCCCTCTCTTGATAGGAGTAGCGGGTATAATCGGTTTCTCCTTTTATGAGAAGAGACTCTCCGATAGCGCATTCGATTCCGAAGGCGAACTCCTACCAGGAGATAACATCGAACCCATAGTCCGTTTCAGTATCTTCGGTACATGGTCATCGATTTACATATACTTTCAAACAATGATTCACGGAATGGTCCTTTGGTCTTTGTTGTATTATCTTCCCTTGTATTATGAGGCTGTTCAGGGATATACACCTATCATCTCCGGTGTAGCCATCTTACCCGAAACTAGTTTCGTTGCCGTAAGCTACACAAGTCCCATTTTCCCTAGCTCCTAGAACTTACTAACACATCTCCAGCCCATGTCCATAGTGGTCGGTGTCCTCGTCGCCAAAACAGGTCGTTACAGATGGGCCCTCTGGTCCGGCTGGTTCCTCGCAACTTTCGGTTCAGGACTTCTCTATCTCCTCAAGCCATCAACTTCAATTGTGCAATGGGTATTCCTCAATGTCCCCATCTCAATCGGTACGGGAATGTTATTCCCAGCCATGTCACTCGGAAACCAAGCCGCTTCCCGTCCGCAAGATGCAGGCCACGCAGCTGCTTTCTACTCATTTGATCGTGTGTTTGGTGAAGCGATTGGTGTTGCTATCGGAGGTGTTGTGTTTCAAAATCAAATCAAGGAAAAACTTCTCGCCTATCCACTTCTTGCTAGTATGGCAACAGAATACAGTAAAGATGCAACGGCTTTAGTGCAATTGATTCAGAATATGGATGAAGGGTTGGAAAAGACTCAATTGAAGCAGGCGTATGCGGATAGTTTGAAAATGATCTGGATTGTCATGTGTGCGTTGTGTGGAGCGGCGCTGGTGTCGAGTTTGTTCGTCAAAGGATATAGTTTGGAGGTGGACCATAAGACGTTGCAGGGGTTGAAGGAGGAGAAGAATGGGGATATGGAGGCGGTGGTGGAGAAGTGAGGGAGTGTGTGAGTTTATGATTTAAAGATGTTGGATTTAAGCTTTTATTAATTTCGGGGAGGGTCTTGGTATGGTATGATAGATATGGGACGGCGTTTTAGATTCATAGAGTATAGCTTTTAGGCGCATAGAAGATGATAAGGATGGGGATTTAGTCCCTCCTTTTCACGATATAACTTAGAAATCGTAGTAGAATAATATTGATCTCACTTCTCTCAAGATTCTGGAATATCAACATGAGTGAAATTTGTATGTCTCATGAGGAGTAGGCACACAGTAATTGCAGCGTTCATCTTGACTCAGAATATCAGACAGGATAATGGGGGTCCTCAACATGCGGATCGAGGTGATATTCGTTACTGCTACTAGAGCGAAGATACCTATCCATGTGCACTTCCACTGATATTGGAGCGAGTAAACCGACATATAGTATATAGTTCTCGGTATACATAATCTCAAATACCCCTCCGAAATATAGCCATCAGCTTCCCTCTAGTATCAAATCCACATGCAGACTAGATAAACTCCTTTAGTTGAAACATCACCATAATATCTTGTCACCAACACCTCGATATCAAATTCAAGTCACACTTATTACTAATTACCATTATGTAGTCAAGAAACTCAGTTTGAGCCTTCAAGCTGAAAGTTGTTACACAGAAGATCCCACAAAAAGATCAGGCCAATCAAGCGAACTTATGTGTTCCACACCAATAGGGGTTTCAGCTACCCCACCACGGAACGTCATCATCTGCATGATTCCCCTCCTTGAATACCAGCGCTGCTGATCCAGATCTCAGGGTTGAAAAATATAACAAGCTCCTCTGCGACGAATTGTTTCTTTTATCATAATATTATACACAAGACACAACGAAATCTTAACGTTTCACAAGAAATCCTATCACAAAACTCAAATAGTAAGTTTTAATCTAGAGACATTACCAGCATGTTGTCTTATGGCGAAAGCTTTTACGGAGCTCCAACCTTACCCCGCACAAGCCACCTCAACAAAACAAACACATCTTCCGTTCTTGAATTCTCGACTGACAGTATTGTCTTTATAGCATTCTCCAAACAAATCAAAACTCAAATCAAACAACAGCAATCATGTCTGGCTACGGAAATGAAGGCTACGGAGGTCAACAAGGCGGAGGATATGGAGGTGAAGGTAAGAATTACAGTCTTGGATATGGAGACGGGGCTTGAGTACGGAATATGCTGATTCGGATCTGTAGAGAGAAGAGGAGAACATGGTGGACAGCAGGGTGGTGGATATGGTGGTGAGGGAAGACAAGGTGGCGGATATGGCGGTGAAGGTATGGTTCCTGATGTCCAGTCCTTTGCTACTGTCTGCGATAAGCACAAGCTTACAAACTCCTACAGAAAGAAGAGAAGGCCACCAAGGCGGAGCAGGCGGACCCGGAGGAGCATTCGGTGGCGGAAACTTTAATGAAGATCGTCGCCAAGGAGGTGGAGAAGCCCAAAGCTATTACGGAGGTGGCGGACAAGGAGGACAAGAAGAAATTCGTCACGGCGGTCGCGATGAGAGATATGGAGGAAGTGGAAACAACCCATATGGAGGCGGTGGAGGATATGGTGCCGATGATGAGGATTTGAAGGGCGCAGCTCATCATGCTCAAGAACATGCTGGAGATTCTGGAGATTCTAGCTTGTTCTCGAGTGTTTTGGGTTACTTGGGTCAGAACAAACAAAATATCGGTAACCAGGACGTTGATGAAGATGGTATGTCATTTCAACTACACTGCTAATGTGCAATCCGCAAAATCATACTAACAACATAAAAATAGAAGCTGTAAACTCTCACAAACAATTCTATGGCGGTGGCGGCTCTTCCGGCGGTTCTTCGGCATCTTCATCTAGTATGGGTAGTGCTGCCGCAATGCAAGCACTCAAGATGTTTAACGGTGGTTCATCTGGAAACTCCTCGTCCGGCAACTCCCAAAACGCTTTCGTTGGAATGGCAATGGCACAAGCCAGTAAATTGTTCGATCAACAAAGCAGTCAAGGAAATGTCTCTTCTGATTCTTCCAAGGAGAGCGCTGTTCAGAAAGCTGGTGAAATGGCTCTTAAGATGTATATGAAGAGTCAGGGTGGTGGAAGCTCGGGTGGTATGAGTGGATTGATGGGATTGGCTAGTAAATTCATGTAAGAGAATGGTTTGTATGAGTGGTTGTTTAGGTGCTAGGCTGGGAGGATAGTTTATGACATGTTATGATAGCATGATTTTGATGAATGAAGCAATGAAATATTTAGCAGCTTAAGCGACTTGAGCTGTTACTATCAGTTGTGTGTATGTATGTGACTTTTAAGGAAACAATGTGATTTATCGCAGAGGCTTAATAGTCGGCTAGGAGTGTCAAACCAAACAGTTCTCGGAGAATTTTGTTGAGCCATCGGTCTCACAGGAGAGGATGGGGTTGCTTCCATACCATATATCGCTCGTTGGGGAATCAAAATAGAATGCCCAAGAGAGGGGAAAACGTGTTGGAAAGGACTTGCTTATATCGAGAAGCGAGGTATCCAGGTAGTACAAAGTGCTCGTACGGTATTGTCAGTTAGTCAGCATGATCGTGATTCACTAAAAGAAGAAGAAGAAGAAGGAGAAGAAGGAGAAGAAGGAGAAGAAGGAGAAGAAGGAGAAGAAGGAGAAGAAGGAGAAGAAGGAGAAGAAGGAGAAGAAGAAGAAGATAAGAGTATGCTCTTTAGATGTAATTTCTACGCGTAGCGGTTCATGTATCCGACAGTACAAAACGATCTGGAGCTCTTGCCTGTGTTGGCCTTCTTTAGTTCGCGCATTAGACCTTCAAGTTCTAAATGAAATTTCGAATCGACCACTTTCCGCATTTCATAAAGTCAGATCAATTGTTTGATAGAACTGCGTTGAATTTTTGCTTCATGAATTACTTTTTTTGCTTTTTGATTCTGTCTAATTTTTCTTTGGAGGGGGAAGAGAGTGAGCGGGTTTGTGGAGATGGGCCTGGTGATTTCTTGGATTACTGTTTTGGATTCACTGGATTTGATTGAAAGATACGATGGCTGAGTGTTGGCGCTTTTGGGACAACTTGCGATTACCATAATATATTTGGAAATGATAAGACTTTGTATCTGCTTGACGCACCACTGTGGTGGCATAGATAGGCTGACTATTGGTATGCAAGTTCACAGCTCTCGAGGTCATTAAGTTCAATAAATGGAGCTGCATATTGAGATTGCGAAGGAAGATGAGATATCCCACTGGGAAATGAATTGCAGGTGCGCTTGTCAGGATTTCATTTTATAATGTACCACGGCTTGATCAAATGCGCCAGGTGAGAGGGGCTTCGCCATATCGTCTCGTGAAGATACAGACCTATACCTTATATCGAATCCATATCTACTCTGCTCTTAATTCACAAAAATCTTCATGAATCAAGATGTATCGATCCGAAGTAGGCAAGATTTTCGCGAGACTAAGTCGACTTTGATATGTCTATGAATCTTCGAGCAAATGTGCATTATAGAATGAATAGATCAGAATGACTCTTTCAGGCTGGCACAATCAAAGCTACATACAGTGCGGGTACGGAATGATTTGTTGCAAATGACAAATGTGTATGAAACATTCGATTTGTGGCTTAAGGCGAAGGACTACTTTCGTCTTGTCAACCCAATCCTGCAGGAGGCAGTGAACAATCGAAGCTAGTATTTCTAGGTACTCTAGATGCAATCCTTCCAGCATGAAGTTGTGGATTCACTGCTCCGATATTATCATACTTTGATCATCTCCCACTACTAGGTAGCCATATCTAGTTTTGGAAAGCTCATGGTTATGGAATGATGGGCATTCATAGAGTGAAACGGACGTTAAACTAATGAATATTTCTCTGATCGAGTACATCTCTTCAACGTTTTGCATGGAACCCAAAAAAAACTCAGTCAGCTTTACATTGTAATAAGTGTTGGATTAATAAACTCACTAGGTAAAGTAGCGCAACATTCAAATTGTCACGTGAATGAACTTTGACGCTGGCGCCTAATTATTAGCGCCTCTCGCAACCTTTTGGAACAAGGAAACCAAGATAAGACTTTCAAGTCAAATATCTTCTGGATATCGACAAAAATCCAGCTCGCCACCTATCTTGAGGAAGGATGTTCACCTCTTCCGTTCGAAGAGCTGTTTCAACAGCACCGCCGCTGCCGATAATACTTCCTGTCCATAATGTCGCACCACGAGCTGCTACTTCTCAAGCCCTTTCATTCCGTTCCCATCAACGGAGATTATCGTCCTCTTCTTCGTCGAAACCTTCCAGCCCGGCAGATGGATCAAAGGGAGTAACAGAGGGGCAGGCCGTTCCTGCATCCCCATCACAAGCAAGACCTGATGGCGAGAAGAAAGCTGCGAAAGCGGGGAAAAGAAAGGCAAAAGACGCTTCAAGAGGTTCTGCGAACAAAGCCGATACCATGCACAATTTACCCAGCGTGCCTAGTACCAGTCACATCGCGCCGAATCGTGAGTTCGCACACTTCCAAACATTCACAGGAAAGGTTTTAACTTATTTATTGCAGAAATTGCCGCATCCGCATTCTTCTCCCTACACAGACCTATATCCCTCACTATGAACTTCCCTAAAGTCGTTACCGACGAAGCGTTCGCCGCTATTTTTGCTCCACGAACACGATCGAACAAATCGCAAGACGTGATAGCCACCCTATCAAATACACTTCAAACACTTGACTCTGTCACAGGGTCCCTCAAACAACTTAATATCCAAGAGCAATGGAACGAAGAGACAGATGAACTCCGCGCTGGCATTACCGCCGATTCCTACCGTGTTCAACATCTCGACAACGCCAACGAACTACCCCGTTCAGTGTTCGCTCGCAAATACACACCCTTTTCCCCTCCTCCCGCGCCCGTCCCAATGAGTACAGAAGAATCTCTTGCAGCAGGCGCAGAAGCCGCCGCCGAACAAGCAGAAGCGTATCTCCCCCAGCAACGTACCTACCACACCCTCCTCGCGATCACCGAATTCACGGATTCAGCCGGTGAAGTAACATATACAGCCGAAAGCGGCCCTATAGTATCCGAAGATCCACCCAGAAGTTATTTCGAGCGTTCTAGAATGCGTCTTCGGGAGAGAGCGACAATGTGGGCTATTAGTGTGAAGAGACAGCGGAAATTAAAAATGAAGAAACACAAGTATAAGAAGTTGATGCGTCGGACGAGAAATTTGAGACGAAGATTAGATCGTAACTAGTTTCTTTCCCCTGTTCTCTAAGCAGAAATGGAGACTACGATTATGACGGATACATTTCTTTGGCTTGCCTGGGGGTTACCGGCTCACTGACGATTTGGGGCATATTGAGGAATACATGCGTGCAAATTGGGGTATTGGGTTTTCCTTGATCTCTATGGGGGTAGAGTAGGGTTCGCAGTGGGATTTGGAGATGGCACGAAACGCCATGAATGAGTAGCCAGCTACTGGTTTTGAATTAGCAATAGCATCTCGTAGTTTACGAACGTGGGTGTTGATCACGTAGAAATTCCGCTTCCACAAACTTACGGCTGCACACTCGCTCGGTAATCCTATTCCCTACTTCCCTTTCCATTTCAATGGGAGATCACATCTCCCTACCCCTATAGCTTATCCTCACTTAGAAAGCCAAGAAATAAATGTACTTATACTATCAATTGATCAAATTGAATTGAACTATGTGTTTAAAACAAAACTTGTATACAAATAAAGCATTTCCCTTTCTATCTGTGGAGAACCCTCTGCCCTGCCCGCCCCTTTCTTTCCCCCAAGACTATAAAACTAGCGATCTCTGTCTTTCTATATCAGAAAACGCTCTCAAGCACGATGCATACAATCAATCCCATATCCACGCGAACACAGGATTTTGTAGAAGAGACCACCCCTTAACCTCGCCAAATTGCACGTAAAGAACAATAAGATCGCTTCATATCTTCATTCTATCTACTTTCCATATACTTTGGTCTCGCTTCTCTTATCTCGCCCCGTCAGCCAAGGTCTTTGATCACATGGTTTCACATGATTCCTCGTTTACCAATCATCGTCGTCTTCTTTTTTAGCATTTCCTTGCATTGCGCTTTGCCTCGCTCGCAAAGCTTCAGCTAGTCCACCAGCCAAGCTTGGGGTGGGAGTGCTCCGACCGCTGTTATTACCACTTCCATTACTAGAAATACTCATTCCAGAATCGCGGGGTGCAGGAGGAGGAGCTGGTTTCCTACCCGCTACTGGACGTTTGGCAGGCGGTGCAGGCGGAGTAGGCTTAGAGCGAACCGCAGCGCCGTTTGCACCGTTCATCTTCGGAGGTCCAGGGGGAGGTGGTGGTGTTGGACGAGAGGCGACAGGTGGTGGCGGTGGCGGCGCAACTTCTTCGAGGTAAGCAGTGGGTGCCCAGCCTTGACCACGGACATTCTTGGTGAGCCACCAGCCTGTTTGTTGTTAGTTTAATTGGCATCACCACGTAATAAATGGACGAAACTTACCATTTGTCTCCTTTTGGAGAACAGTCACTATCTCACCCTGCTTGAGGGAGAACTCATTGGCACTCTGTCCAGCGAATTCGTAGAGAACGCGGTATTGAGGTTCTTTCGATGCTGGAGCCGGGGGAGGAGCAGGTGGGGCGGGTGGAGGAGGAGGGGGCACAGCTCTCGTAGATTGTGCTGATTGTAAAGAAGGATTCCTTGTATGCACTGGAATAGAGGCTGCAATAGGGTTGGCTGCGGGTATCGGCCTTGCTGCTGCAGCAGGTGTAGGTACAGGTCTTGCCGCAGCAGGTGAAGGAACAGGCTTGGGAGTTGGTCGGTTTCCGTTTGTCAATTTTGAGGGTCGTCCTCCTGGCCCTCCAGGCTTAATAAGACGCCCCGAGGTGAATGGTTTCGGCGCCACAGGCTTGCCCTTTGGCAAAGGCTTTGATCGCGAATTGGGTGGCTCGCCTGCTTGAGTGTGAATAGTACCACTCTTGTAATGATCTTGAGCCTGTTGAGAGTCTTTGATCACCTTGATTAACTGCATTTTATTAGGCTTCTTGGCATACTCGATTGAATCCCCTATTTTAAGATTGAAACCGCCACCAGGCATTGCTCCTTGCATATGGGTAAACAGTTCGGTCTTAAAAACGCAGGTAAGAAGCGGATCCGCTTCCTGTGGTGAGCCTATGCCCAGGGAAAACCAATCATCCCGACAAGTTGATACACTAACGAATTTGATAGCTCCAAGGGGAATAGCCTTTTCCACTGCGATTTGAACCTGCTTATTTACAAGTTGCTGGCTAACTATGTAGAACTTCGCCTTCGTCATAATGAAGATGCGGGGACTAAGTTTACTCGATCGACCGAATTTTGTCTCGAGAATCTCACCACGGCAGGAGAAAAGGGTGATTTCGTTAGCTGGCAGATTGATTGAACCGCGTATTTTTGATCCAGGTCCTGTGGTTGCTGCAATTCCAAGATAATCACCCATGAAACGTCTTGAGCCTAGGAGACTGTATCTTCTTCTCTCTTTGCGGCCTTGTAGAATTTGGTGACCCTTTTCTCTCAACTCTAAAAACTCTTTACCCTCTCTCTTCTTCCTGAACATCCTTTGGATTCGGGTGGCTGCTTCGATTCTGATTTGTAAGAACGCTCTCCATACACGTTGAATACGGGCAGCCATGTTGTGCCAGTAGCGATCACGCATGTGTTCTAGGGCAAACAGGGTTTCAGGTGCCTTGATAAATGCCTTAGTCACACCCATCTGATATTCTTCAACAGGTATGTTAGTATCTTTCAAAATTTGCATTGCTCCAGTTTTTGAATCTCCTGTCCATATGTAGTCGCCCGCATAAGAAGTTTTAGGGGAAAGTAGATAAAATCGTTCAACGAATTTGTCAAATGTTTGACGATATGCAAATCCGGCACGACGGATACGGACGTTCTCTTGTAGACCAAGGTACTTGACTTGATGTAAAACATTCTTTTCATTGTATTCAGTTGGTGATTTATTTTCGTTAGGCTTGATGGTACGGATATACGATGGCGTTGCCTTCATTAATGTTGCCACCAAATCATTTGCCGAGGCTTTTATCTTATCACCGGCAGATGGAGGCTGTTTTCTGTTGTCCTGATCGACTTGGTGGGGGAATAGTTCATGAATGAACTGATTTTTGCTTTGTCCGAACAGGTTGAGTAAGCCCTTGAGAAGTTGATCCTTATTCTTGTCTGTAATTCCCTCTACTGTATAGCTCACATCACCAGCATAATGCTTGACAATGAAATTGCCTTGTCGAGGGGTCAGATGAGGGTTTGACATTCCGCCAATTGCCTGCATGAAAGTACGATCACATGCGGCTGGATCGGCATGGGCTGTCTTGGTGGCATCTTTCATGGCGGAAAATATACCTGGTGGTCTTGTAGACTCGATCAAATCACAAACAATTTTGTTGTCAAAGTACTTGATTGGCGTCCATTGGATCTGTTCCCGGGCATATTCCTCTTGTTCAGTCTTCAGTGTTAGCTGAATAAAGATCTGTTGCAATTTCTCATTGACATAGTTGATACACAACTGCTCGAAACTGTTCTTCTCGAAAATTTCAAAACCATAAATATCGAGAATACCTATCGAGTTCGATGTCGCTGACCGAGCAGTAAGGGATTTGTTGACACGCTCCACGATCCAATCAAAGAGGTTGTTATATATTGCTTTAGCGAGAGCATCCCTCGTGGCCAGCGCTTGAGGAACATTCGCGGGTGATTCGATAACTTCCCCGTTCCGAGGAGTAAGAATTCTAATGGTGATAGCTTGAATAACATGACCTGCATCGCAATCCAACAGGTATGCCAGGAAGTCAACAACTGATTGATCAACAACTGCAGCATACCCATCTTCATCTTCGCGAAATTGAATATTTCCAGTCCACAAGATAGCAGCTAGCATGCGAAATATCTCATCTTGTTCAGCTTGCGACAAACCAATAATCTTCATGGCATTCAAAGTATCCTGATATTCGGCGAGATCGTCAATTCCATCAACATCAAAGCACCCGGCTTTGCTTGTGTAAAGATACTGCGACGGTTGCTGAATACCATAATTCTCCCTGTATGCTTGCGAAGCCCCTTTTGTGAATTGGTAGAAAATGTGGAAATTCCGCTCGTCCTTGATCTGAGTGACTACTCTCGTCTTCTCGAGAAGGTAATTTGTTATGTCCGCGCCCACCGGTTCACCTTGCGCATTGAATTGCAGTTGGAGGTATTTTCCAAAACGAGAGGAGTTGTTGTTCCGTAATGTTTTCGCATTACCAAAAGATTCTAGCAATGGATTCGTCGCCAGTACCATGTCCTTAATCTCCTGAATGGATGAGTTACTGCCTCCAGAAACATTGGCTATGTATTGCATGATTCGCTTTGCTGCCTCGGTCTTTCCCGCTCCAGATTCTCCTGAAATGATAACACATTGATTATCTTTATAACCATTCATATTGTAGTAGGCAGATTCGGCAACGGCGAAGACATGAGGTGGCATCTTAGATATTTGTTAGAAACGCAGGTGTTCAATGTGTGGGTTCGGTGTTCACTGACCTCCAGCCGATTCTTGCCTTTGTAACTGTCCAAGACTGCATCTGTGTAAATTCCCACTGTGAAGCGTTAGATATCTGTATTCAAAGAAGTACTATTTTACTCACAATCTCGAAAAGGATTGACAGAAACAAGCACATGGCCAATGTATGTCTACATAAAACTGTTAGTGCTCGTCCTCTTCGGGAAACCTCCCGTATCCATGTTCGCTCGTCGCGAAAGAGAAGCCATACATAGATTTCCTTATTATCAAATCTCTTCTTAAGATTCTCGTTGATTGCTTCATTAGAGACCTTACTGATCAAAGTAAGATCTGACACGCCCACTTCCTTCTTCTTGGTTGTATCGAACTGGGCCTTCTGGATATTCGGCTTCCCCGACGGGGCACTCTCTGCGCCAGAGGCATTATTATTCCCCTTCGGACGACGACTGATACCCTGTTTCAATGGTTATTGTTAATTGTGCCAACTTTTTGAAGGATGCAAGAAAGGATTTGTTATTCCATACCATTTTGAAGTTGAGTCGACCCTGGTTATCAACCCCCCTTACAGGCGCAACGGTGGCCGCTGATAACAGAAGATCTCAAGGAATGATATTTAGCACAGCGAATGTGAAAGAAAGTGCATGCAAGAGCCTGTTGTGAAAAGACCAGATTCGCACGCTCAATGCACAAAGTTTGGCAGTTGGTATATCGTCAAGTGTCAATAATTACTTCGAAATCGTCACTTGTAGATAGATGATCGGCTTCGCTACGAAACGCCCGTTCCAATTAACAAGCGCTAAATCGGAACGGTAAAACGTAAGGCTTTAAACTTCCTAATTAGTGGACTCAGCCTTCTTGACCACGCATTCTTTTTCTTGTCCTTTCGCCGCTTTGAAAACATACGAGGCATCAACAAAGACTTGAATTGACATCTGCTTACCTCCATACACGAAGAAACCTCATCACTTTACACATCTGAAAGAAGAACACTAATGACCTCAAGCTTTACATGTCATCATGCTGTGATGGAGCACAGATGGAGCCCACGGGGAACGTGGCATTTGTTATAACATTGGTTGCATCGATTTGATCCACTTGGCAAATTATTAATACTTTGATAGACATACAAAAATAACCATCCATCCATTCAAGTCCTCGGCCAGATGTTTGTTCTGATGATAACACTTCAACGAAATCTACTGCAGGTTCTGCCTGCTGTTGTGTAATGTGGTTGTTCCATGCTTGTTGCTCTCGGAGTTCCTGTCTATCTGCTATCATTGAATAAAAGCTTCTGGCTCCCGCATTGCTATCCTCCAATTGCTCATTTCATATATTCTTGCTCTTCATGCAAAGAATCGATCCAGCATATCCAAGTGTGTTTGCCATAGATTCAACTCTCCTTTTTTGAACTCTAACCCAAGTTTGTAATTTTACAATTGGAAATTATATATGGTTGCGTTGCTCAAGCAATACCATACAATACAGTCTGGCATTCTCATGTAGGACTTGGTACGAACGACGGATATTGATAATCAATTATCTCAGGGGAAAGGGTCACCAGTATTGCAGTTGTTTTTCAGTGGGAAGGACCAGTATTGTCTTTAAAGTCGTCTGTCCTGAGAGAAGGATTTACATACAGTACTCTAGGGGTCCAGATATTATCTATAGCCACACCAAATATGACCGAATAATCACTGAGTCACAACTTTCTCAACACACGACTGGCTGCTGAGTATGGAGTTATTCGGACAAACATTGAGATCTGTATTATTGTCTACGGTGGATATACGTAGCTAGTGATGTCCATACGCTATATCAACGACAACGTATTTGACATCCTGGAACTTTCAGCTCTTTCACGCATGGCAATTCTCCATTTGTGATGCACTCCAGTGATTGGAAATTCGCCTGTGGTCATCGTGGTGTGTTTATGGCCTTTTGCCGATGCCGAGGAATTCACGAGAGAAGATTTTGATCATCAAGTCTCGAATTCAAATCTATATACAGATTTTCTATCTACACATGGTGTCTCCGTCGTGTGCACCCTTTGTCGATGAAGCAAGCGAGGCAAGATCTCCATCTCTCAAGTTATGGTTAGTAAAGTCACAGGGAACATACTTTCATCGACGGCCCCTTAGATGAACGTGCACTTGTTGACGAAATACTGTTTCCAAACCAGTTCTGAAACGACATAGAATGTCGGCTCTCCGACCTCGAATCTGGCAAAATGACTTTGCCAGTTCCATTTATCGGTACAAAGTTAGACTCAAGTCGATACTTTTGCCAATTGACTGTTAGAATTTCCCCGGGGGGGGGGGGGTTGGTTATGATTTCCTCCCTGAATACTGCGCCGATAAGGAATATGACACACTCACTGCATGGCTGGCTTTGGTTTGGTGCTTTGTACTGTGCCTTCTAGTCGGATTTGAATTAAACGCCAATACTTGATAAGCCCTCGGCAACGAACTAACGTGAAGTATCAGCCCCTTCGCCATCAATTCTGCCCCGACCTCTCTGAAACTGTTGATATCACGTGATTTCAACATCACCCAAGATAAGGTTTTGCATTTTTGGGACCTGCAGGAACGGCGAAATGGCGGGAAAACGAATAATAATATCACTGGAGTAGTTGAACGAACATCGGGGTTCGGACGGCAATTTCACTCAATAACAGTGTAAAATGGCATTCTCAGGTTATTTCTGACGGTACCTAATATGGACTTTGCCATGGTCACCTTTCTGCCCAGCCCTAATTATGGACCCAGCCTTGATCAAATGCCTACCAGTCCGGGACTCAACGTTGAGCTCAACTAGCCATATATGACAGCTTCGTGCGTCAACAACTCGATCTGAACAAAGCTTGACTATGATGCCAAAATGATTGAGGCAAAGACTGATTATCGTAGATCTACGATTACAGAGTCGACTGACTACATCGTACCAATGTAGCCTTACATATACTGGTTTAGTATATGAACGATGTCACCACAAAATCAAGTTCCATAGCTTCCCCGTCCTGCACACCCATCCGTGTACACCTGGTGTATGAATTACAAATTCAGCCGAGAATAGTTACCCCAGAGCATCTTATCTTCAAACAAGGGTAAAAGCATTCGACACAACAACCGTTGACATCTAACTAACAAATTCACTCTCCGCGGTGAAGGTACTTTGTACTGGCTCATGTATGGAATCTTAGGTTGGTGGATCCAAGTGAGCTATTCTGGTGAAAACCCAGCAAGAGACCTTCTGTGGAACGAGGCACCAGATGGGTTGATGCAGACGACCAGGACTCGTGCATAAGTGCTGCTTCTCTCAATACTTTCACCCAATGAAATATGACTGTCAAGCGCCTGGGGTAGCTTGATACCCTTGATACCCTTGATACCCTTGTTATTCAAATTCAGACGCGGGTGACAGTAGCCATTCTCAATATAGAAAACCTCGACTTCGATTTCGACTTCGACTTTGATTTCTCATTTCTCATTTCTATTTCTTTCACGAAATCGATTCACTCATGATCCAAACCCTTCAGTATCTATCGTGGTAATCTTGGTAATCACATTACCGAAATTTTACAAAATATCTTCAACCTTTTTGGAAAGCCGGCTTTGATTCACAGAAAAGAAGCACGGTAGACAAATCTATTCCCCTCTCAGGCCCCTGTTCAAACGTCCAGATAAGATCGGATATTCTTGCAACACCATTCATCGCTTCTTTAATCCTTCTGAGGCTATTTGCAACAGCACCCGTCTCAACTCAACCAGCAAAGTTTTACTATACAAGCTCAATTGATATCTTCTCATCCCCCGTACCATCCGAAACCATAGCCTGCTTCCGATTATCAAAATATTGGATCGATCTGATACCGTCTCATACCTAGCGAAACGCACTGTTACATCCCATCTACTCCTACTTGATTGAAAAGAAAAAAAGCTCGAATGGCATTTCTCGAAATACAGTGATTTTCGTACCGATCAACGGCATCTTTCCTTGGATTTCATATCGAATAGGAAATTGAAAAGGAAAATCTGATATTATTGTACAGCTTTACTGGGATCTTTCAAGGAAAACCTGTCATCCGAATTCTTAGATTTGCGCCCGCAACAAACGGCTGTACGAGCGTTGGTTTCGAACCCAACAAGACTTTCTCACAACATAACTATCCTGTCATTGAAAGGACAAGTGACTAGTGTGGTAGACCCAACGAACAACCTTTATCACTCAAGACTCGCCCACAAACCCTAGCTTTTATCTTCTCCTTCCTCGGCGTTGTAGAAGGACAAGACATCTCTCTCCAAACATTCTACCCAAGCTTTCCAAGCCTTTGGCTGCTGGCTCAGATCATTCTTTTCTTGTTATGAACATTCATTTTTAACACAATTCTTTTGGGGGGAAAAATACAATATTTAATATTTCTACGTGAGGTCGGAAATTTTGGTCCCTTCAGTCAATCATAAAAAGATCAACGGGTTCACTCAACTTTCTTCGTCGATCTTGTCGCTGGACGACCTTTAATTTTTGGCATAATTGGATATAGAAAAGATGGGCGCTGTACAGTTTTTGAAGGAGCAGACTAGGGGAACTAAGTTGCTATTCAATTTCCTCTTCCACGGCTCTCACATTGGCCTGTTTGCTTTTGGATGGTGAGTTCGGCTTTCAATATATTTGATATCTTCCGCTAACAAGTTATACAGGTGGAAGCAAGCTAGTGACCCTAGACTCTCGGGGTTGAATTCTCTTACATTCTCAGTATGGATATCGAGAGGTGCCGGTCTCGTGTTGTCTGTAGATGTTGCATTGATCTTATTACCCATGTGCCGCAATATCTTAAGATACATCAGACCAAAGATCAAATTCTTACCACTTGATGAGTCTCAATGGTTTCATCGACAAGTAGCATACTCTTTGTTGTTCTGGACCATATTTCACGTAGCTGCCCATTATGTGAAGTAAGTATTACAAAATCCTATTTCTATTTAAATATTAACATTCAGGCAGTTTCTTCAACGTCGAAAAGACTCAAATCAGACCCGTGACCGCAATTCAAATTCACTATACCGAAGCTGGTGGTATCACAGGTCATATTATGTTACTATGCATGATGTTGATGTATACTACTGCCCATGCTAAGATTAGACAACAATCTTTCGAAACATTTTGGTACACGCATCATTTGTTTATTCCATTCTTGCTTGGAATGTACACACACGCTACGGGATGTTTCGTCCGTGATACCGCAGACCCATTTTCTCCATTCGATGGTGAGAACTTCTGGGGACATTGCTTAGGTTATGAAGGATGGCGATGGGAGCTCTGGGGTGGTGGACTTTACTTCCTTGAGCGTGTGTATCGTGAAATCAGAAGTAGAAGAGAAACTCAAATTGTTAGAGTCGTTCGTCATCCATATGGTATGTTACATCCTAACCATCATCATTCGAAACTAACAAATTACAGATGCCATGGAAATTCAATTTCGAAAGCCATCCATGAAGTACAAGGCAGGGCAATGGCTTTTCCTCAACGTCCCATCTGTTTCCCGTGAACAGTGGCATCCATTCACTATCACATCATGTCCGTTTGACCCCTACATCTCTATTCACATTCGTCAAGTCGGCGACTTTACCCGAACCCTTGGAGACGCCCTCGGAGCGGGTGCTGCACAAGCGAAACTCTACGACGGTGTTGATCCCAATGGTATGTACGAAGTAGCCCTCGAAAACGGTCAAAAGATGCCCGACATCCGCATAGATGGTCCCTACGGTGCTCCCGCCGAAGATGTCTTCGAAAATGAAGTCGCAGTCCTCATCGGCACAGGTATCGGTGTAACACCATGGGCATCCATCCTCAAAAATATTTGGCATCTTCGTCATGGAACAAATCCTCCCGAACGTCTTCGTCGAGTAGAATTCATCTGGGTTTGTAAGGATACCACATCCTTCGAATGGTTCCAAGTCCTTCTTTCGTCCCTGGAAGCACAATCTCAAGAAGCAGCATCGCAGCCCGGTAATGACGGACAAGAGTTTTTACGTATCCATACTTATTTGACTCAAAAATTGGATATTGATACGGCGCAAAATATCGTATTGAACAGTGTTGGTGCGGATGTCGACCCATTGACTGAATTGAAATCGAGGACGAATTTCGGAAGACCGGATTTTACAAAACTGTTTGAGGGTATGAGAGATGGAATTATGGACAAAACTTATTTGTCCGGTTTGGAGGGAGATTTTAAAACTAATATTGGGGTTTACTTTTGCGGTATGTATTATCCTCTTGTGTTTTTGCTTCATTTTCCTCTTCACACCTCTTTCCGATACATTCTTGATTTGAACATGGATACTAACATTCTGACTAGGACCAAACGTAGCAGCCCGCTCCATCAAAAAAGCATGTAAGAATGCGACAACTCGCGATGTCAATTTCTCGTTTTGGAAAGAACATTTCTAGAGTTTTGATTGGGATCGTTGAGAGGATGGCTGGATGTTAGTCGAAGAGATGTTAAAATTCTCGCGAATGATTCTGGGAAATTATGAATGGGAATGGAAATTGGTAGCAGGCGCGGATTTTTGGATACGATATGATTCATTTGTTACTACTTATTGATATGATGGATGACTGGATGGATGGATGAGTGTAGATAGCGAACTCTGGAATGAATAATTGAGAATAGGATTATCTATGACATGCAATTTTTGAGATAGTCTTGCATCGTATGATGTAATGGTGATGGGATGTGAGGATGCGTGTATGAACCGTCATTTTGATATAGGTCGTTGCGATTTCCCAAAAAACCTGTAGTAGTTGTTTTGTGTACTCGTGTAATTCTGGTGAGCTGATACTGTAACTCTTCAATCTATGTGCCAAGAATTCGTTTGAAGTACCTTCTCTTCGAGACAATTTCCGAGAACCCATCTCTTTAGTAATTTCACCGGTCATGTAGTCTAGTCTAGTTTGTATAACACACACACAAACATACACTACGACCCCTACTCGAGTAGATTCTCGCTAATAACATATCTCCTCCCCAATCCCTCCATCATCCAACGACCTCTAATTCTTCCCTTCCCTCGCCTAAATCTTACTCCTCCCTTCTTTCCCATTCTTCTCGACCTTCACAACAACCTTGCCCCATGTCCCCCTCCCCCCTAAACTCTCCAATGCTCCCGGAACATCCTCCAACCCCACGAACTCCTTATCTCTGAAGACCGTTCCCCTGAATTTTCCCTCTTTGATCAATTTGAAAATACCCTCCCATACCTCTTGGATTTTTTCCGGTTCATTTTGTACATATGCTCCCCAGTGTAATCCCACTATACTTATATTTTTCAACAAAACCTTATTCATCGCCACTTTCTCGATATTCCCGGCTGCGAATCCAATCACAAGGAGTCGTCCATTCCAGCGTATGCATTTTGTCGATTTGTCGATTAGACCCACTGGATCGAATACAATATCTACACCTCTGTTGTTTGGTGTGAGTTTCTTGACTTGATCTGGCCAAGAAGCATCGCCGTAATCAATAACATGGTCAGCGCCAAATTCTCGTGCTACCTCCAACTTTCGCTTCGTGCCAGCAGTAGCTATAACAGTTGCGCCAAATGCCTTTGCGATCTGCACGGCTGCAAGACCAACTCCACCAGCAGCAGCGTGAATAAGGACATAGTCTCCAGATTTTATGTTCGCGCGTGTGACGAGAGCGCCGTAGGATGTGGGAGCGGTGACGAACAGACCGGCTGCTTCGAAGAAAGACCAGGAGTCGGGAACGGGATAGAGAGAAGCTTCTTGGGCGCAGACGAGGGTTGCGTAACCGCCTTGAGAGGCACCGAAGACACGGTCTCCGACTTTGTATTTAGGAGATGAGGAGGATGAGGGCGTGGAGAGAACGGTACCGCTGAATTCTGAGCCGGAAATCCCTAGGCTGAGGGTTAGTGAGAGGTTGGGAAATTGAGATACGAGATTGGAACTGATAGGTAATGATGGCTTCTAAATTGTTTCCTAATGGACAGATAGAAGAAATGTCTTACAAGGTAGAGGAGGTTGGTGTTGATATTTCCCGCGAATTTGAAGCAGGTCATAGAAATTGGTAGCGGTGGCATGAATTTCAATCAAGTATTGATCGGGATTTGGTACTGGATCTGGTAAATCTGTCACTTTAAGATCTTGAGGTCCCTAGGTTGTAACAATTGATTAGTATGCTACATAGATATACATAAATATGAAAAGAGACAAGAGATGAAAGCTTAGGAGCTCTCTCTGAAAGCTTACCTTGACGTATTCTTGGATTTGAATTCCACGCATCTTGTAGATTGTCTTTCGGGTTATGGATGGGGTTTTGTTTGTTCGAAATAGGTTATTTCTCGAATTTATTGAATATAATACAACACAACAGATTTAAACAGGAGAGAGAAGTGATATGTATGTAAGAGGAGTATTGGAGTCAATGAGCTATGGGATTGAAGGATCCCCGGATTCTATAAACGCGGGGACCGAGCCGAGGTCCAACTAAGGATAAAAATTAATGGCTCGGTCAGTAGCTTACCTGGCCTAGTTGAAAGTCTCTCAAGAAGGTTGCTCCGGTAGTATGAAGAAGGCAGACTTCAATTCCTTAATGCAAATGCAAGAATGCTAACGTGAACCCCCTACCTCAGCCTCTCTTATCTTAGCTGGCCGGTACTTGCCTCCATGCTAAATTATGTTTTTAATTCACCTCACCGGGAGTCCGGATACTGAATTCAATGAGAAATAGACCTCATTGGCGATGAAGAGAGGATGTTATTCCTAATAGTCCAAACAGAGGCAACAATATGTAGAATCTGTGAAGAAAGATATCGTTAATAAGTACTCGTAGATACGTAGTTGTTGAATTTAGCTTCTCTCGTGGTCTTATTATATACTTCCTGCTCGATAATGGAAAGGGGTTAGACGGAACTCTACCTGAGTACTGGTGCTTAGATCTCGCGCTGGGCCGGCCCTTGCATGACTGTGCCTTATGGCCCTGGAATTTACTTTGATAATACCTACTCCGTGGATAGTAATCAGAAGCCAAAAGATTTCAATGGAAAGATGTGATTATCAGTCATCAGTCAGTCACCAGTCACACAACATACCTACCTATCTAGATGTATGAGGGTATATATACTTTTAGACGATGTAGGGCTAACGATGAATAGTGAATTATATCATGAATGAAACCATCGGAATTTATCTGTTTTAAGATTAAATAACTTATTCTCACATTTCTCTATCTCTATTTCTCTTTCCCTTTCTCTTTCTCACAATCATCCTTCATCTCAAAAATTTCCTAGTGACAGCCATAATTGAACCATCGAACGTCATCTGAGCCATAGCCACACCTCACTTAATATTTGCCCATGATAGATACGATTACCTACCAAATACACACACCAAACCACCTTTACTATCAATCCAACAAAATAAAACCCAACGATACCTACCTGACTCTTTGAGATATCTTAATTCAATTCAATATTCATCAGTCAACTCAAAAATCCATCAAAACTATTAAAATGTCAGACGAGACACCAACTGCGCCCGAGGGCGATTCTCAGATCACCTTCAAGGTCAAGACATCCTCTGATGGAAATCACACAATCACTATGGCAGAGACCGCAACAGTTCTCGATTTAAAGACAAAGCTAGCTGGAGATGATTACGAAAAGATTCCAGTAGATCGTCAACGATTAATCTACTCCGGTCGCGTTATGAAGAATGAGGAACCTCTAAGCACTTATAAGATCAAGCCTAACAATACGATACATATGGTCAAGAGCGCACAAAGCAACGTTGCCAATGCTGCTGCCAATGCCGCAACTGGCGCTGCAGCAAGTCTCCCAACTAACATGGCTGCCGGAACTGCGAATAACCCTCTTGCTGGCTTGACAGGTGCTCGATATGCAGGCCATATGGGTCTTCCAGGTGCTGAAATGTTCGGCGCAGACGGTGGTGTATGTATGCCCATTTCTAAGAAAAATCTTTCCATACTAACATTTTCGCAGATGGGTGCGCCACCAAGTGAAGATGCGCTCGCTCAAATGATGGATGATCCCAATATTCGTCAAACGATGAACGAAGCTCTCAACAACCCGGACCTAGTCAATATGATGATTCAAAATACCCCAATGCTCAGAGATATGCCCAACGCGCGCGAGATATTACAATCACCCATGTTCAGAAACATGCTTACGGATCCAAACTCCATTCGACAAGCTGCTGCGATGAGAAGACAAATGGGAGGTGGAGGGGCTGGCGGCTTTCCCGCTCCAGGCGTCACTGACACTACACCCGCTGGAGCAGCAGGGAGCACCCCAGGAAGTGGTCAGCCTAGTGTACCACCTTTCAATATGTTTGGAATGCCTGCCGCAGGAGGTGCTAATAATCCATTTGCATCATTATTCGGCGGACCAGGAGCAGCAGCCGCTGGTCATACGCCTGCCCAAACTCCTCCACCTCCCGCTTCTGCTGGAGGAACCCCATCAACTGGTACTGATGCCAATCCACCGAATCCCTTTGCCTCGCTGTTTGGGGGAGCGGGTGCTGGAGCTGGAGCCGGAGCCGGAGCAGCTGGAGCGGGATTTAACCCCTTTCAAGGAATGCCACAACCCACTCCTGAACAATTACAACAAGCAATGCAAATGATGCAAAACGGAACATTCGGAGATATGTTTGGTCCTGGTGGATTTGGCGGCATGGGCGGAATGGGTGGTGCGGCCCCAAGTGCACCTGCAGCTCCAGCAGACACCAGACCACCTGAAGAAGTTTACGCCGATCAACTTAGGCAATTAAACGATATGGGATTCTTCGACTTTGAAAGAAATGTGGCAGCTCTAAGAAGAAGTGGAGGAAGTGTTCAGGGAGCCATTGAACAATTGTTAAGCTAGATTTCTGGGTATTTTCTTGCTTTTTAAATGTTTCTTTGGGCGGAGGGGCAAAGTGTCGATATCACGGATGAATGAATTTATGGGGAATTCTCCCGAAGATTGATTCACTCTTCTTACATTTCCATGAGTAATTTTTATTTACAAGATTTGCTTGCGTTGCTGAACCGGGTTGAACTAAGCTAAGCGCTTTACATCGGGTGTTGGGAGTCAATTAAATCAGTTATGAATATTTGTTTTGACATAATGTGATAGATGACAATTATATGTGACAGGTGTGCGGTATTCAGTTGTGCAAACGAAGTATGGAAGTATAGAATTGGGGTATAAGTGGAGCATGGTAGCAACGTGGGAGGAATTCCACGGGTATTTGTATGCATGGAACAAGTTTTCTATGCTTACATTGACCTAGACGAGGAATATATTTCATTTGTTCACTTGTTTCTTCTTCGCGATACTTTGCACGTCATGCTTAGATATGAAGTCCCTTGGGATTGGCGAGTGATTAATAGGATGGTTTGCGAGGATTTTTGTGGAATCTACTATAGAGCCTAGAGTGGTAGGACGAGTTATGGGATAGGTTTGAGTATTACGAGTAGCGTACCTAGGTAATCATACTTGGAGCCTAGAAATTCATCTCGATTTCCTTTGAGCGATTTACTTTTGGTGTGCGAGTGACGTGTAATTGCGGGCTGGTGCATATGCTACGGGTTATGGCATATGGTTTGAGGCAGTGCATTGGATGGTGTTTGTGGATGGGGAGGCTTATGAAGATAAGTGTGATTCGTTGGATCGGGGATCTTGGATGGGATTTGGGAGTTGGGAGTTGGAATGATATTTTCAGGGAATAGGGGATGGGGAAATTTCAGCTCAGCTGAGTAAGGAGGGATGTTTGAAAGTGTGAGTGAGGTTGTTTGTAGAGTTGAGGGATCAGAGGAAAGAGGGGGAGAGAGGGGAAGAGGAAGAGGAAGAGGGACAGGCAGAAGAAGGTAAATTGAGATAATATCAGGTGAATGATTTCTACTTTCTTGGATTGAGAATCGAGTTACCTCGTGTCTTTATAGAATGGTGAGCTCAGAGACCCGATGGAGATTACTTGATGACTACCCTTTATGAATGTTACTAGGTAGAAATGTCATATGTATCTCCTGAAGCTCTATCAAACCTCTAGATTGATAGATGACATTCCATAGACGATGAAAGTGACTTAGTGAAATGACTATAAGAAGTAGATGAACCTGATCACCATCTTGACTTACTAATGGAGAAGTCTTTTATGGATATGTAGGTACCTATGCAGAATAACCCTTTTTTCACACGAAGGAAATCCTTGTCCAGAAACTCGTTTGCACATTTTGAGCTAATTAGATGTTTGACTTCTAGTTAGATCAAGTCTCACTGCACTTCCAATGAAAGTCCGTTCACTAGTTCAGTAAGTAGTCGGTTTGATTGTGTAACCGAATATCCGACTGTTGTTCATAGACTCGCCAAACCCGAATCATCAAGTTCTGTAAATTCACACATCCAGAAATGACTATCTAACCAACAATTAGAAATCTGACAGCGTTGCATGATCGAATTGGTTGTCAAAAGAATAAATTAATTCGATATCCCTTTTCTCGTGTCGGAAAGTTGTACTTGAATCCATCTCTTGTAACCTTAAAGCAAGCCATGGCCACCAATTTGGTTACACGTCATCCATTCAAGGGAATCTGGACTCTATGTGCCATCATAGTGAACGCTGTCAAGTTGCCTTTCTGGTTCGTTTATTATTCATTCTCATCGAATAGACAGCATCCAGAATGGAGCATCATCCAAGCCGTGGCCGCTGTCGCACTGAAAACCGCCGTTTGGCATTCATCCATGGTACAGGTCTCTACGCCTCTGATCATAAAGGCAGAGGGTGAAGAAGAACGGTTTCTCGTTCCAATCAAGCCATCTTCCTTACCAGGAGTCTACAAGGGAATCTGTGATGATAAGGAAATTAAACCCGCAACGATTTGTGGCTATTGGTATCCCTCGTCTTACAATGCCGAGGAGGATAAAACCAAGAAGGTTGTACTTCATTTTCATGGTGGAGCTTTTGTCACTGGTGACTGTCGACCTAATAAATCTGGGTATGCGGCCGATCTTCTCACTCAGCACATCGGGAAGACGTTAATGGTCTCTTATCGACTTTCTTCCAACCCTGATGGTCGATTCCCTGCCGCGCTTCAAGACGCCGTCACAGCTCTTCACTATCTCCGAGATCTAGGCATTGAATACTCCAACATTATCGTTGGTGGAGATTCGGCAGGTGGCAATATCCTTGCGGCATTATTGAGATATCTTGCTGTCACAGATGCGCCTGGTCCTGCAGCGGCACTTTTGTGGTCTCCCTGGATTGATCTTGCAAGGACTCTTACTCCAGAAGTGTTGTATAAGTCTCCACACAGATTTACAGATTACATTCCTGCCAATTTTGCGATCTGGGGAGCCAATTCCTATTGTCCCAAAGATAGTCCAGTCAGCATGGACTCTGAATGGATCAGTCCTGCAAAACATCCATTCTATACAAAAACACCAATGTGGATCCAAGGCAATGGGCAAGAGGTTTTGCTTGAACAAGTCAAGGACTTTTCAGACGGAATGAAGGGCATAGAAGGTAATAACATTGCTTTTCATAGTGAGCAAATTGCGACTCATGATATTTTGCTGGTTGGAAATTTTACGGGATTCGAAAAGGAAGCAGTCAATTCTGTGAAGGCAGCAGCTGAATGGCTGAACCAACTATGAGTATGTATCGAACGGAGGAGGGGTTGCACTTCTCCAGTACGAAATGCAGCATAACCATTTGTTCAACACCAACGATATACCTTTATTGTTATCCTCACGTTCTTTCTACGGTATGATAGGAGCAACCTCAAAAATTTGGGAACAGGTAATCGCGAAGGCTACAGAGCTACACATAGTGGAGAAGGACCGGGTATTCTCGACCTTAAATTTAAGTCTAAATTAATCGAACCGCCAACCATAGTCCTTCGTTCGAACTTCAAGAGTCATTATATTTTATATTCATGACTTGAATGACAGTAACATTGATTCCTCATGCAGACTTTATGCGTGAATGAGAGAGAAAAAAAACATTCCCCTGTGTGTGTTTTTTTTTTCCGAGTCCCTTTAGGTTCCGCATTGTAACCTTATTTCAAGGTCAGGGAGAAAAGATCTAGAGATTAAACTCATGAATCAGACGTAAGAAGTTCTCATGTTTTTTGAGATTAGCACAGCATTCACACTTGCAAGCTGTCTTGAGGCTCTACAACATATAGCAAGGCATTTCGATGGCTGTGTCTTGTATCAAAGTAGACTGAAGGTGGGCAGCCTAGCAATGCTACCCAATTAGAAGCGAAAAATTGGGGTGATGATTCACAAGACTTTGACCCACCAGGTCCACCAGATCCTTCTCATAAGGTTAGCGAATTTCCGATGTGCTTGACCACCATTATCGCCAATCTTTCTTCCTTTGAATGTGCTTGTTTAGTTTGCTATGAATACCTGATTAACTTGACCGCTTGTATGAGATATGTGTTTCAGTTCTCAGATCCAAGATTGGCTTCGTTCATATTTTTCAATAAGAAATACTAATCACCAGCAGCTCATGGTGTCATAGTCATGATGTTCATTTCATCCACTTCTTGACATCATGAGTCTCAGCTCAAGCGCAGATCTAATAAGACCTTAGGTCAGATCCTCAACCGCCCGTGCCAGCCTGGTACAGCGCTTCGATTTACGGCTCCTTTGTATTCATGGATTTGATCACATTTACTCCAGGTACCCAGGCCAGTATGCTCAAAATAGCCGCCTTTTTGAGAAGGCAATGAAGCATATCACCATTTATATTCCCCACCAAGGTCAGCTTCTAGGCTTTTTCGATCTCCTTTGCGGGCCGGGCCCTTCTTGTTGGTGAGAGATGGGGGTTCATTAGTTCCTGTACATTTCAGGAATGAGTCCGTAGGTATAGTGACCTAGTTTGCTAAGGCAGATGAATTATAAGTGCAAAAATGTCAATCGGTCGTTGTTTCAATTTTCTTTCCAACTAGATGCATAGAAGTGTGTCATTACATTCATTATATTGCCATTCCTTCCTTCTCTTGGCTCTTTAATTTTGGTGGGCTTTTTCTTGGGTCCTTCGTTCTTTCTTGCTACCACCTTCTGAAAATCGATATTTTGTGGCTAGTTCTGCGGATCGCTCACGATTATCAGTAGCTAGATATTGAGAAGCAATTCCCAATACATCATTCATTCATAACTCACCACTTCAATTTTTTTTTCCGGTCCTCTATCTTTATTGTTAAACTAATATATATTGCCAGCGTTCACTTGTATCATTATTTGTATATTAATGTTGCCACAATGATGGTTTCTATTCATTTCATACTATCAGGAGTTCTCTCGACAGCTATCACACAAAGTTATGCTCAAGGGACATTCACGCCTGAGAGGCCCCCTGCTGTTCCTTTGATGGTCAAATCGCCTTATCTGAATAGTTGGCAAGTCTTTGGAACTAATGCTACCGATTACCAAAATGGCAATAGTCTTGCTCTACGATGGAGTACATTCTGGCAGTAAGTTGTTTCCCATCCATCGATATAAGAAACATCCTTCGACTACCCATTATTGCTCAGTCAGCTAGGCTAATATAGGGATTCTAGCAACCAGATTACAGGAATGACAGGAATTGTAAGGGTAGATGGTGAACCATTGACTTGGATGGGATATCCTTACGCAGCTGACAATAAAACTCTAATTGAATCTGCGAAGCAGACGTCTTGCGAATATACCTCTACAAAGAGTATTTTTACTTTCGATGTAGGAGGAAAGATTAATTTGACGGCTACGTTCCTGTCACCTCTTAACCCGAAAGATTTGAAACAACAATCTTTGACCATGGCCTATTTGCATGTGGATGTGGTGTCTACAGATGGGAAAACTCATGATGTGTCGGTTTATGCAGATATTTCGGCTGGTAAGTAATTTATTCTGACCCATACAGGGCATCCAAGGTTCAGACCAAAAAATCAGATATCTGATGGGATCGTGCTTCCAAAACATCTGAGCAATTGTAAATTGATCAGTGTTAGAATGCAGTCCGGACCATTGGATATCTTCATTGTACTGTACCACTGACTAACACACTTAGAATGGGTTTCGGGTGATCGAAGTTCTAAGGCACAATGGGATTATGGAGTGACAGACGATAAAGTTGCATATCATAGAGTTTATCGACAAGAGCAATTAGCGTTTACTGAAATCAATGAGC